CTGTGTACAAAAATTCTTGAAATGCGATAACAAAACACATACGTATGTTCTATCGATAACACTCACAATATAAATGGTATTAATAAGTACAATGAATAAAACTCTAAAGCAATGTGCACAGAGAATTTTAAAAATCTAGCATCATACGTACGTATATGTGTGTTTGTGTGTGTGTGTTCATATGTGTGTTTGTGTATGTGTTTGTATGTGTGTGTGTGCGTGCGTGTAACTGTGGTTGATTTTTGGGCGTTCAAGTGTCGACTTGTATGTTTGTTTGCATGTTGATCTGTGTGTTTGTATCAAAATTTGTTTATGTTTATCTATATATGTATATGTATGTGTGTATGTGTTTGTGTGTGTGTGTGTGTGTACTTTTTCAGCAAGAAATAATACAAAAACCACTAAAATACATGTTGGTAAAGATTGGTTTATAATACTGCCAAATAAATTCAAGAACACATAAAATAAACTTATTGTCTTTATTATTATTATGGTTATTATTATTATTATTACCATTTAAAATATGAAAAAAACATCTAAAATAATTTTTTGGTTAGTTTTCGGCAAGAAGTTTCTTGATTGGTTCCATAAGAGAATGGCATTTTCAAGGAGAAACTCATTCATGTTTTTGATGAAAATACTGATGGTAGTTATACGAATGCATGCATTAGTCGAATGTATGTATGTGTGTGTGTGTGTGTGTGTGTGTGTGGTGTGTGTGCGTGTGGTGTGTGTGTATTGATCTAATTGCCGGGTTAATGTGAAGTAATACATTACGTTCATTCAACAAAACGGTTTTTTTTTATATATATATATAAATATCAAATTAAAATTAATTGAAAATAAATTAACGAAATATAAAAATAAAATATTTTAAAATTGAAAATAAGAAATTTTCTTCTAATAAAAGATTTACATGGTAAGATTTGCAATAGCGAGATATGGCAGACAACGACGACAATGAATTATATGCTATATATATATACTTATAATTAAAATTGATTTTCCCAATCTAATTAATCAGTTAATTAATTAACTATTTAATTAACTAATTGATCAATTAACTAATTAATTGGTTTATTTAAATAAGTTAATTAGTTGATCAATGGTTTTTTTTTACATTAGAAAATACTTTAGCAACACTAAACATGGATTCCTTTTCAGAAGTAATCGTTTGCGAGTAAGCTCGTATTTAAGTAATGAAAATCAATAGAGATACTTCTACGTATCGCACACAAATAATTGTTTTTTTATATATAAATATATTCAATAATTATTAAATACATAAATATATTTAATAAATTATCGTTTGAAACGCGGAGATTTTGAAAAAATTGTTTTTTTTCTTTAACGCCTATAAATTAGTCACAACCGTCCTAGTTAGTCTAGCCATTTCTGAATTTACGACCTGAAAGATATAACTACTTCAACTAATCCACTCATCAGCGACAAAACAGTCGCCACACTGGCTAGCCACAACAGCAACCGCACCACACTCGCCATAAAAGCAGCCACGCCACACCACACCATAACTACCACCACAGCCACAAGGGACAGATTCGCATGAGCGATCTTAAAATAAAAAAGGTTTGCACTAACACATATTAGTAATATGAATACGAAAAATGCACACACATATCGTCAAAGCAAAAATTATAATTAGTAGCTTAGTAGCATTAGCCGCCAGCCATCCTTAAAAACTTTTCATCAAACTCAAAAATATAGCTCCTAGTGTGATAAAAACTGTAGCACCACCAACAGCGCCTGTTTTAGAGACGCCGTTACATGCGCTCGGCCACCATTTTGTCTTCAGCTCCTTCAGCTTTCCATCTTTCTTAAGTTCTTCTATTGATTTGTTCAGCTGCTCTTTTTGCGGCCAGTTTTTAGCCACAGCTAGAGCGTAGTTACGAGTGTCGTTAATGATCTTGACGCTTAGCAGGTCGCACGGCTTCTGGACTGTGTAGTAGTCGGCTGTGGCTGATTCGATGATCATGGCGTATTTCGGAGAGGTGGTTGTCTTGTGGATTTTCTCCACACCTGTGTGTGTATATGTATGTGTTTGTATATATATGTGTGTGTATATGTGCGTGTGTATGTAAGTATGTGTATGTGTATGTGCGTGTATGTGTGTATGTGCGTGTATATATAAGTGTGTGTGTGAGTGAGTGTGCAATCAAACCTGCTTGATAGCTGGGGACAAAATTGGTTTCATCCTTAATCATGGCTTCATAGATTTTCATGAAAGTGGTGTCCTTGGTTTGGCGGAAGAAGGAATGCGTCGACCCGTCCTTCAGAACTCCAATTTTTAAATCGGTCTATAATTATTATTTATAATTACAATTATAATTATTTTAATTATTATTATTGTTATTATATTTGTAATATTATTCTAATACGGCACAAACATTAAAATATGATACAAACAAATGAATCAGACCACCTCTTTGTCTATCTCATTGTGCAATTAAGAAAAAATAATAATATATACTCTCTTTTTTCCTTTCCCCCTCTGTCTTTCTAACTATCTTTCTTTTTCTTTCTCTCTCTCCATCTCTCTTACTATCTCTGTTTCTCTCTCTTTCTCCATCTCTCTTACTATGTCACCTGATTAAGCAGATCCTTAGCAGAAGATATCTTCTTGGCGCCATCCTCTTGCTTCAGCATGATTAGAGAGAGATCCACCGACATGAAGGGTACCGTGAAATCAACGGCCTCTTTCCGTTCATCCGTCACGGTTATCGGTCCAGCTGCTATCGACGCGTCCTGAAGGTTGTTCATTACTATCATTGTTGCTGTTGTTATTAGTTATTTATTATTATTATTAATATTATTCATATTTTTAGTATTAATATTATTATTATTGTTGTTGTTGTTGTTATTATTATTATTATTATTACTATTATTATTAATCTCTTGGATGTATCGACACGCACACACACCACACAAACCACACACACAAACCACAAACAACACTTACACACACACACACACACACAAAACACACACACAGCGTCTGGAGATATGCATAATTTTACGCATCACGCACACACACTGCGCGTTCTTTGTATTTAAACATGATCAGAACGAGATGATCCTTCTTTGTCTCTCCTATATTTAGCGAATATGTAAGAAGTTTGTGTAGTAGAACAAGAGTTGAGAAATAAGAAACTCACAGAACTGATGACTTTGCCAATCATTCCATCCCAAGCATCTCTGTCATTCTTCGATCCGAATTTGCCGTCTTCCACTTTACTGAGATGGAATGACATCTGGGTTTTTTCCTCTATGGCTTTCATCAGATCCGGAATGAATCCTTCTAGATTTCCATCTTTTTCACTGCAATACGGCGGTTCCTTGTGGCGTTTGTGGTAAGTTGTGGTTGTAGCAGGTTGTGGTTGTGGCAAGTTGTGATAAGTTGTAGTTGTGGCAAATTGTGGTTGTAGCCGGTTGTGTTTGTAGCAAGTTGTGGTTGTAGTATGTTGTGGTTGTAGCAAGTTGTGATTGTAGCAAGTTGTGGTTGTAGCTAGTTGTGGTTGTGGCAAGTTTTGGTTGTAGCTAGTTGTGGTTGCAACAAGTTGTGGTTGAATTTTTTTAAATTTGCGATTCAAGTAATGCATGTGTGGGTTTTTGTTACTAAAAATCCGAAATAATATGTTACTGCATGTATTTTTTTAAACGAGTCTGAAAAACTCTGAAGTATAAATCTTAAAATGTAAAATTCTCTCTCTCTCTCTCTTTCTAAGAAAAACTAAGAAAAGCAGAAAAACATGCGAAATAATACTAACAATTATAGTTGTAACTTGAATTTTGTCTTGCCGCTTCTGCCTACTGAACTTTGCAGCATCTGGCGAAGGAAAAGAAAAAAGTTTGAAGACTGTTATTCAGCATTGAAGACTGTTATTCAGTATGTCATTTTATAAGATCGGATTAACCATCTAATTATTTATGTATTTTTAATTAGCTGTTATATTATTCTTACATATTTTGAGGTTTTATGAATTTCGCATGACAGAGATTTCTTTAAAAAGTTAATATTCTAACCATTTCTTACAACGATTGCTACTAAGAAAAGCAGTAATATTGTTCTGAGGGCCTCCATTACAAGCTAAGAATGAATGATTGATTGAATAAAGAATTGAATGAATGAATGAGTGAGTAAGTGAGTGAGTGAGTGAGTGAGTGAGTGATTGAGTAAGTGAGTGAGTGAGTGAGTGAGTGAGTGAGTGAGTGAGTGAGTGATTGAGTGAGTGAGTGATTGAGTGAGTGAGTGAGTGAGTGAGTGAGTGAGTGAGTGAGTGAGTGAGTGAGTGAGTGAGTGAGTGAGTGAGTGAGTGAGTGAGTGAGTGAGTGAGTGAGTGAATGACGAAAGAACGAACGAACGAATGAATTAATTAATTAAGTAATTAATTAATTGATTGATTAATAAACGAACGAACGAACGAATGCATTAATGACTGAATAAATGAATGGTGGAATAAAGGTTATCAAATTATGAAATGTTACAAATATCTAGTTATCTTTTTCTCTTCAATTTTAATCAACGAACCTTTTATATTAAGTGTATCAACTGATCAAAGATGTGCTCTTTGAAAATTTTGTAAAAAAATTTATTAATTAATTGACTTATTAATTAAATAATTAATTAATAGTAAAGAAAAGAAAATATATATAGTGCAGAAGTATGACAAGTTAATGAAATTTTTTAAACCGAGGATTTTAAAAAGGCCAAAACAATTTGAAAAAATAGCTACTCGTATGTTAATTTTACAAGCAGGTTTAACCAACAATAGTTTTATAAGTTAATAGATCGCTAATAAATCGTGAGAAATTAATTAAAACTGATTCGTTTCGTACCGTTTCGAACCGTTTCGTATCGTTTTCAATCCGAGAATTAGCAAATCGACCGTTCCAACACTCAAGCTAACCAACGTCTAATGGCCAGTCAGCCAGCCAGCAAGTCGGATCTCAGAGCTGTCTACATACATACAGACATACATACATACATACAAACATACATACATACATACATACATACATACATACATACGTACATACATACATACATACATACATACATACATACATACATACATACATACATACATACATACATACATACATACATACATACAAACAAACATGCATACATACAAACATACAAACATACATACATACATACATACATACATACATACATACATACATACATACATACATACATACATACATACAAACAAACATACAAACATACACACATACAAACACGCACACGTTCCAAATAATGCAAAAGGGTATTATGACGCAAAGATGCATGCGCTGCATACAGTTGTATGTACGTTCATTGGCATGTATGTATGCATGCATGTATGCATGTATGTATTTGCGTATGTATGTATGCATGAATGCATGTATGTATGTATGTTTGTACAT